AATACCAATTTTACGACCAATGATAATCACACCAATGTTACTTCCACATTGTCGGTGTTTTTTGGAGCCCAAGTGCCCACCAGGACCACCAGGACCTGAGGGAGAGCAAGGTCAGCACTTTTTATTTCTCACAATTTTTGTCTTTTTCAAAGCTAATTTCAATAAAAATGTTAAAGTTTTAGTGCATAAAGTAAGTTAGTTATATCTCTCAACTTAAAACTTTCGATAATCGTAATTAAAATGGGAAAACAAGGTGATTAAAAATTCTGACAGCTTACTTGCATGCAATTTTTCATCATGAGCTTTTTATCTTTGAAGCTCGAAAGCTAGTTGAGAAAAGAACGCCAAAAATTTTTGAATAGTTCTCTTTTTCTTCGAAGAATCGCTACCTCTAACTACCATTGGCCAAGATCTCATATATAGCTAGCCCTCCTCTCAGCAACCACATTCGTCCCAAAATTGTCGTTTTATGTAGCAAACATTAGGGTAAACTAAAAGTAATGAGGAGTTCTCAATCAAATTTTCGAGACAAAACAAAATCAATTATCCTTGAGCTTTGCGTTTTTATTGTCTTCTACGTTGCTTTTGCATTCTCAAGCTAAATTCAAAATTCGGATCTTTGTTGGCTTGGGAGATTAGATCAAATTAATCGCAAATTCAGATTCGATTTCGCTTTGGTTGATGAACATTGCCAGCCTAGGAAAAAAAAGATGTCGGTCAGAAGGCACTAGGCTGAGTAGGAAAGTACAAAAACAATTACCTTTTTTGTGTATGACGTTCTAGGGGTTCAAGATTAGGCAACATGCGTGGCCATCCCGATGCAACATCTCCATACATTTCAGCAAATTTAGGCTGGCTAAATTATCTTGTATCCTCTGGATCCTTTTATATTACAGAGAGTTTGTACCGTTCGAAATCTCAACTTATGTGATCTTAATCCCAAACTAGACTTCTTACTTTTACTATATTATAGCCAGTTGAATTTTTCAGTCAAATCATAAGCGGCTTTACAATAACACTAGGTTCTTCACAATCTTATATTTTTAGTCTTGTATTTAACGTTTCTCTTTGTGAAAGTTTCTTTGTGCCCCTACAATTTTTTCAGCATTCATAAATAAATAATAATGCTTACAATTCCGAAAATGTGGAAGCATAGCGAAAGCGCAAAAAAATACAAGCAAAAAAAGAGTGCAGAAAATAGCTGAGCTCATAATGTACTGGGAACTTAAAAAGAAGTCAATAGGTGCAGAAGTTCTTATAACTTTTACACCGTCCTCGTAGTAACATTTTTTTAACAAACGTTACACAATATATCAAGACAGAATCGTAACTTTCAAGCTAGTCTAGGACGCCGCAAATGTAGATATCTGAATGTGGTAAAGGATGCTTATCGTCGATTGCTCTAATTGAGCGAGCCCAAATTAACCTGTACTCTGCAGTCAATTAACAAATTATTAAATCCTATTAGGACCTGACGGAATTGATGGAATTCCTGGAGAGCACGGTTTTGACGGTTTTGACAGTAAGAACGTGCCACGATACAGTGTCCTGCAAGGATGTGTTCAGTGTCCTCGTGGTCAGT